AGTCGTTTACTCTTGTCATGGCCATGAGCTAGGTGACACCATGACTGCCATTCCACGTTAACCAGAAAGGCTTTCTTCTTAATATGCTGATACCCTTCTACAGTTCAACATCAGCAAATGGGGGTGGATCTGCGTTGATAGTAGTAACCTTGACTTGATATCTAAAGTATCCGGACAACAGTTACCAAAACGTAGTTCCAACTCAGACCTGTTATCATTATTTTTCCCTTGGGTTCCTAGTGGAACATCGGGCTTTAGTAGCACACCTCCGTTGTACTCCCTCCTCTGCAGTCGTTTCATCCTTTCGCTATGACTGCCAGCCCATAAGCTTTCATTTGTTCCTCACACCATCTCCTCCATGTCACCCTCTCCTGGACGCCGAACTCGTCGTCTCCTCTTTGGGTTCCACTCGAGAGCCTGGCGTGTAATGCCCCCAGTCGACCTTCTCAGTGTATGCCTAATCCGTCTCCACTACCTCCTGCATATTCTTTGGGTGATAGGTCCCTGGTTGGTTCCTTCCCAGGTCAGAGTTCCTTGTTGCTTATTCTTATTATTCTGGCCATGTGATCTCCATCTTCAGTATCGAGTGAGTGTAGGCGACAGTTGTTGATGAATGTCTGTAGTTTGTTTGAAATATTTCTCGTAACATACCAAGTCTCTGAACCATACAGCAGCACTGACTTGACGTTGGTGTTGAAAATCCTGATATTGTTTACGCTTCATGCTGAGTGCAGTAGACCTCCACACTGATTTCCGTTCAATGAAAGCATGTCTTGCTTTTCCGATCCTGGCTGGCTCTGACACCCTCATCTGTGCCGCCTGTAGTTGAAACGGGTGCTGCCCAGGTAGGTGAAAGAGACTACTTCCTTTAGGTTTTCTCCCGTCATGGTGATTGGTGCCTGTTGTTGCTGTGGTAGTGTTGTTTGGGTATCCTCTGTCACCTCCGTCGTCTCTACATTCACTTGAAGTCCCGTCTCCGTTGCCTTACCTCTTCCGCCAACTTGTTAGTTTTCGCTTATAGATCCTCGAGTTTGCGCTACATCAAGCATAGACCATCGTCCGCGAAATCCAAATCTTCTGGGATCTTTTCATCAGTCCAGCGTATCCTCATCTTCTTGCTCCTCACGGTTTGCTGCATGATCCAGTCGACCACAATCCGGAAGACCATCGGTGATAGTAGACAGCCTTGTCTTACTCCTGTCTTCACTTCAAAGGCTTCGCTGAGCTTTCCACTCTGAATCACTTGGCATGTGGCACCTTCAAACATTTGTTGAATAAGATTGACAAAGGTGTATGGCATTTAAAACCGTAATGTCGAAGCAACTGCCAGATTACTTCTCGGTCGACGCCTCGATAGAAGGCCGTTTCAAAGTCGTTGAAGTTGAGGTTGGGTTGAGTTGACTGCCATTCTACGCTCTGTTCTATGATGATGCGCAGCGTAGCGCAGTGTTGCAATTTGGTCCGCACATGATTTGTACTTTATGAACCCAGCCAGCCTGTTCCGGTCGTAATTTTTAATCCAGTGCATCCTTTAGTTCGGCTTAATATTTTGCTTGGGGTGAACAGGAGCGTGATTCGGCACCAGCTCTTGCAGAGATTTATATTTCCCTTCCTTCTCAGTTTGACAAGGTAGCCCTTCTTCCAATCTGCAGACACTATCCTTCCTTCCAAATCTTGTGGTGTGGTGTGAGCACATCTGCTGCTGCTGTCTCTGCGCCTATTTTAGTGCCTCTGGTCCTACTGCTCTCCTGAATTTCAGCAGTTTTATGGCATTCAGGGCTTTTGCCTTTGTCGGAGGTCCTGTGTAAACTCGTAGTTCTGCCGTTGCCGGTGGTTTTTCTGGGCGAGTTGCAGGTGGTAGTCGATTCAAAAGTTTTTTGAAGTGGTCAGCCCATCGCTTCCTTCGTTTCTCCTCTTTGGCGGTAACTAGGTTTCCCTCGCTACCTTTCACTGGTTTGCTCTGTGCTCTGCTGATCTCCTTCCAGATGGTACTTTGGTCATTTGATATAATGTTGTCAGGTCTCTCCTACCAGCCTGCTGTCTATTCTGCTTCACTTGCCAATGGTCGTGGGAGTGTCTTTCGTCTTTCCTTGTACTCTTCTTCACTTCTTTGTTCAATGCAGTGTTTTATAGGTTATGTTCAGTCCATCTTTCCTTTGTTCATCCCCTGCGCTGCACTTCAACGGTTTATCTGCTTCACCATCTTCCTCTCCCTTCTCTATCAGCTTCATGTCTTCATCGAGATCCATTCCTTGTCTCGTCTTTTCTTCTTTTTTCCTAACATGGTTATGCAGATTTCTTTCCACATCTCTTTCATGGGGCTCCATTGTTCTTCCACTCTGGTTTCTTCAGGGACGTTGCTCAGTATCTCCTAGTTTTTCCTGATGACTGACGTCAAGATGTCTGTCGTAGCTTCGCCCTTCAGTTTCTGCCCTGGGTGTCGAACTTCACCTGTGGTCTGTGGTTAACTTCTTTGAGGGCTTCAACCTGGTTTAAAAGGTTCCTTGGACTAGATAATGGCCTAGGCCTACATCTGCTCCTCTTCTTGATCTGATCTTGTGTCCAGTGGGCTGGCTGCGTCTCCACTTTCTTGGGATTGAGATGAGGTCGATATGATTTTAAGTGTGTCCATTTGGTGAAGCCCGTGTCGCCTTGTGAATATCCTTGTGTTTGTACACACTGCCTTCAATCACCAAATCGTTAAATGCGCAGAAACCCGCAGACGGTTCTCCGTTCTCATTCATTTCACCAGGTGCCTCTCGACCCATGATGAGTTCTCTTTCTGTGTTGTCTGCTTCCAGTTTGGCATTCATGTCACCCATTAAAAATTTGATGCCGCCAACCGGAGTCTTGTCCAGTACTCATTGCAGTTGTCTATAGAATTCCTTTTCCTTCTTTTGATCTGCATTATTTGTTGGCGCGTAGCATCGAATGATTGTGATTTTTCTTCCTTTTCAGTTGAATCTTGTTGTCACGATCCTAATCCTGCAAGAGAAGGTTGGTTTTCACTACGCGACAGCTTTCGATGATCTCAGAGACATCATGATAGCCACTACTTCCGTGTGCTGGTGGTTGTCATCTGGGTGACCGGAGTAGATTATTGGCTCTCCAGTTGATAGTGTGGAAGGTCCACTTCCAGTCCACCTGCCTTCTCAGGTTTCTAGCATTTTTTTGCTATACCTTCGCGTCTCTTCTGTAGTTTGGGCAGCCTTGCCAAGTTCATGCATCATGCTGACATTCCATGTCTCCATCCTTACTTTCGCTTTCATCGAGAGACGACATATCGGCCCACTGGCTTCCCGAAGACTTTCACCAACCGGCGCCATTTCGTCTCTCCGATTTCAGCGGGGAATGAGTTTGTTTTTATCTTTAATATCTTCCTTGTGCTTTGAAGTTTCTTTAGCAATTACATTGGCTTTACGGGGTACGGTTGCTAGCCCTATGCCCAACCTTCCGTCTGTAT